AAAAAAAAAAAAAAAAAATTATACGTAGATTCAAGCATTTGAGGGAAAAATTACTACAGATGTGCATAATGATGAGCTATTTAGAAGGTTCTGTATTTCTGCATTTTATATGTTCGTAGGCGATAGTGATGGCAGTAATTTTGCCAGCACTAATAGCAATTTAAGTCGTAGTTGTGGTTCCAGTTACAATTGCCGCTATATTTCTAGTTATTGATACAGATGTCTAGTCTGGAAAAAATGAAATTATTGTTTTCATTGCAAGTTTTGAAAATTTTTTATTAATGACAAATTTTTATTGAATTGTTTATTTTTAGAATCTTTACTGGTTTGTTTTTTTTTTTCATGTTTGTGCTCTTTTTTTGTTTATTAAAACCGTTAATGTTCAGTGGTTATATTAACAAGTTTTGACGCCAGAAGAAGAAACACCAAAGAACTATGTATTTTGTTCGTATTCTGATAGAATCGTCTTGAAGAAGTTTAGTAACACATTTTTAAGCTTACTGTAAAAAATAATTCTGTTAAATATTTGCTGATACCACCATCGTTAAAGCAGCGTACAAAGCTGAAAAATTTAGACTAAGGTTTAGATCGGTCGGCTTAAAGGGAACAGCAACAGCAACTGCTACTGCTGCCACTTCTATTGATATCACCTGTCTATAAGAAGTTGTTAGTTGCCCCTAAAAGCCATGACTTGGCTTGGTTGCTAAAGTTTTTTTTTTTTTTTTTCAACTCTTGTGGCAGTTGTAATTTTTTTGGCAAAAACTAAATTGCTAAAGTACTAGTTTACAATTAATTTGTCGGAAGATTTGTTGCGTATATTGTTCAGTTTTGCAAAACTCCAAAAAGCTAGAACAAAAAAAATAAAAAAAAACTAAAAAAAAAAAAACGAAGAAAAAATCAGGTTTTAAAGCTGTAAAGGATCAATTTCTCAATCTCTCTTTTTTCTTCTTCTGCTTTTTTTTTTTTTTTGTGTAGTTCGCTTTTCCTGACCACAAATTTGTGGTAACTTTGGGTTGTTCAATTTTGTAGAAATGCACAATTAAGAATTAAAGATTTTAATTGCCATTAGTGAAAAATATTGAATTTTTTTTTTTTTTTTTTTT